GCTGAAAAGACAAAACAATAACAGGAGGTAGGTTGCAGTCTTTGCACATTTGGGTGTGTAGAGTATATCCAATAACTTTGCTGCATTATAATTCTAATTGTTTATCATGTGTCAGTGGTCATACATCTACTTCAGGAAGTACACCACTTCAGGAACTGTACACCACTTAGTAACACTTAGTTTTTGCAGCATGAATTGCAGCTTGAAGCATGATTTGTAAACAGAGACATTGGCTAGAAATGGAAAAAGGGATCAAAGATAGATTTGTCTGCCATTGTTACTGTTCCCTGTATTGCTCAAGGCTACTATTTTTTGGATGAGCATGACTTGAGATATGGATATTTTGCACATCATTGGGAAAGGAAAGAAGATAATGCTGAAGGTCTGAAGTTTATATATATGGTGAAGCCTTATTTATGATGACCAGAAAGTGTTATGCTAGAAGAGGTTGATTTTAAGATATAGAGGGCTTTTATCTGACATATGGATTGTGATTTTCCTGAATGTGACTACAGGATATATGTGGCTAGTGTTTGCAGTGAATTCTGTACTGTAGTGAATATTGGTCCTTTTTTTTTTTTTTTTTTTTTTTTTTTTTTTGGTGTGTGTGTCTCAGGCTGGGATCAAAGTGATGAGAACAAAATCTGTGGTTATCAACCATCACAGCTTACATCATCAAGCATTGTTAGACATGGGACTTTTTGTCTGCAGGAAGGGAAACCACATTGGTGAGATAACAGAAAAAATCCACAATGTAAACAAAATCTCCTTTTGTTTTGACCACAAGATAAATCCCTAATCTGGGTTGGAATGCTGTTGTGCTTACTTGATTTATTTACTTGCAGGGTTTTTGCTATTCATTCCATAAATAAGATGTGAAAATTAGAAGTTTGAAAGATCACTAGGTAGTTAAAGACTGAATGTGAAGTGTGCTTGTGCAGTCTTAACGAGAGCTGTAGAGTGTATGTTTTTCACAGAGTATTGCTTGTGGAGCCATAGATGTACATCTTTCTTTTAGATCTTAGAACTTGCTTTTTCAAATGACTTGAAGCCACCATGGAAGTTCCATTTGTAAGTGTTAGTATTAAGTGGAATTGGGATATTTCCAAGTAATAATAGTGTACTTGCAGTAAATAATTGGGTTTTATGTTTAATAGCACTTGCTGTAAATGTAGATGTAATTTAAAATACATTATCAAATATTTACACAAATTAGTCCTAGATAATATCTTATTTATAGGAGTTTTACTTACTGTCCCTTAAATTAGTCATGCAATGTCCCCCAAAAACAAGAGAAAAAGAGAAGAAATGCAGTACCCTTATAATATCTTCTTTTACTTTTGATCAGTATTTTGCTCAGTAAATTATCTATTCATTACCTGGTTAAATATCAAGCCAGTTCGGTGTTGTAGCTATTTAAGGCTTTAAAGGAAAGATGTCTGGATATGACGGTTGTTTGTTCTCCTTTATAGAGCTCTAGACAAGGAAGTGAAGGTAGTGTTTGAGATTAGTGTGTGCTATGTGTGTATGTGGCAGGAATGCCCTGTTAAGTTAAAAACTGACAAATCATTGTCTTATATTGTATGAATATTTAGACAATAATTGGCATACTGAAGAGTCTTAGCTGATGTTCTAATCCTTTTAACTCAAACAGCAATTTCCCTTTCCTCTCTGTACCTGTGCAGAAACGACGCAAGAAGTCCGAAATGTTTAGCAGAAAAAAAATTCACGCCTCTCGATACTGGCGGTGGAAGATGGCTCAGCGGGAGCTTGAGCGGCAGCAGCGGGAACAGCAACGACATCTCCAGCTGGGGGAACGGGAGCAACACGCAGCAAGCACAACAGGGGGGGACTCAAGGGGGGAATGATGACCCCATTGCAATATCCATGTTACCAGGCTACCATCTTTTGTCCCAGAAGGAAAGAAAGGTAGGAAAATGAGCAGTTTTTGTTCTGGTTGTGATTGTGGTGAGTGGTGATGTTGATTTTCATCATTATCATCATAATGACATGATGATTTCATCATCATCATCAGTCATCAATATATTTTAGATATAGATTATTTTTGTAATTTTATTGTAATAGATGTTAGATATAATCATGAGTTGCTCTTGTAATACTAATATTCTTTTATTGTGCATTAGACATGTACTGCTTGATTTTTCTTTGAGTGTCTTTCCTCAGGATTGCATTTGTCCTGTGATACTAAACAAAGGCATTTGTATATTTTTTATGCTTTTCAGTATTTTATTAATTAGAGTTAATGTCATTTCTGTCAGAATATGAATATATAGAGAACCTCCTCTGTTTCTGACCTTATTCCAGTGCTAATACTGTAAAATAAGTAATGTCATTTCTTGCACAGAAGTAATTAGATAACAGATTTATAATTGCAACTCTTTCCTAAATATTCTTACCCATGAGGAGACCTGTCCATAAAAATAATTAGCAGTAGCTAGCATGCATGATTCACTGAAAGTTCTCTGAATACTAATTATTATTAGCAGTTAATTGGTAAATTATAAAGATGAGTCAATTGGTTTCCATGTCTATAAATTTTCATTCTGAAATACTTATAGGTTAGATAAATATAATATATGTAAAACAAATTCTTAGTTAATCTGATGCCACAGGGTTGACGTGTACATACACACCATGGCCACAGTGAGTTTAGTTTATTAACTGTCTTTACACATAGATGGCTCCAGAAATACTAAGTCACCAATGAGCCATTTATGAGTATACTACCTGTCTCACCTGTTTACCCTTTTCTTGGTTTTTGGAAATATTTTTTGGTATCTTAGATTTCTGTTAGTAATATCAATAACACTGTAATAATTATGATGTCTCTAATAATGATAAAAGCATTAATATTGATAACTTTAGTCAAGAAAAAAAAAAAGGTTTTCCTGCAAACTTCAAGGAAAGGTGAAATCAGGTGAGGCCACAAGGTCTGCTAATTGATTCTTTTGAAACTAAGTACTTGTAGAGACATCTGTGTGCAGAAACATTTCACTAAACAGTACTACAGTGAACACTGCATTTTCCCAGTGAAGATGGGTTATAACTTTTGGAGTTCAGATTTTTCCTTCCTTCATAATTTGAGCCTCTAAAATTTGCACAAGTAACAAGTATTTCTCATGACCATTATCAACCACATGCCATCATGAATGAAAAAAAAAAATAGGGAAAATGCTGTGCCCATTTTTTTGTGAAATGTCTTTGTACATAGATGGCTCTGTTAGTGCTTAGCCACAAAGGAGTCAGTTAATAGACCTTGTGACCTTACCTAATTTCACCATTCCTTAAATTGGTGGAATTTTTTTTTTTTTTTAACTAATGCCATGAATATTGATGGTATTATTTTTTATAGAAATTATAATTACTATAATGTTACAAACATTATTTTAGATAACATAAAATATTTTTGTAAATCAAGGAAGAGGGTAAACGGGCAAGACAGGCAGTATCTGTAATTGCTGACTTAGTGCAAGTGTAGCCATTTAGGTATAAAAACAATTAATAATTAAGGTAGACTTACAGTGGGCATGGCATGTATGTACATACCATGCCCATCGGCATTGGTTTAAACACTAAATTAAGTTTATTGTTTTTATTTAAGGTAAACTTACAGTGGGCATGGCATGTATGTACATACCATGCCCATCGGCATTGGTTTAAACACTAAATTAAGTTTATTGTTTTTTTTAGTCAAGATTCAAGTTCATGAAAATTTTACAGGGTTATCATCGTTGTCATTTGTCATTTCTTTCTGTTATTTATTGCAAGCTGTTATTTCATTGAATTACACATGTTTTTTAGTGTTTTGCTTGACTGTAGTATGGATAGTCAGGTGCTCATACTAGAAAATAAGACATGACTTGTAAACATGTGATTTAAGGATTTTTTTTTTTTTTGGATCATACAAATTTCAGATTCCTTTACATCTCTTGTCTTCACAGGTTTGTGGCTGAAAAGTCATTTTACCCCACATGATACAATTACTAATACAGGTGTATGATTTTCAGTTGTGTGCCTCCTCAAATATCAAGCCATCACAGTACATTGCTTACAAAGCTGTTTTACTTAAGGTAAGCAAAGCAGAGAATGCAATTTAAACATGGTTTTATTTTAGAGATCTTTTACTTGTTTCATACTAAAAACCCAAGTTTTTAGTATATTCTGATTTTGTCAGACAAAAATTAGGGAAGTTATTTGTGATATGGATTGTAAAAGAAGAAGAAGAAGAAAAAAAATATCTTGTTAATCCTTGTGCTTTTCTTTTCTTTTCTTACAAGTGTCATGAACTAGAGTAGGGTAAATTCTGGTTAACTTGAGGCACTTAAAATAAAATAAAAAGGTAATACAAACTTTGTTATTTGTTTGCAGGACGAAGGCGACAAGCGTCAGGCAGGTGTTGGATCAACTACACGAGGGGGTGTATGCACTCCCCAAGGCCTAGACTCTCACTCTCAACGCATGATAACCACTTTCATGACCCAAGCGGGCTGGATCTCCTCGTTCACATGACCACCCTTTAATTTTGGGGTCTGAGCAGCTGGATCTACATCTACAGCACAAGAATCTTTGGCATGTAGATCTTAAAGGCATTATTCTGCTGCAATGACCCCAAAATGATAAAAATACCAAGATGACATGTTAGGAAAAAATAAAAGGAATAAAGGTAATCATATGAAAAGTGATAGCTAAAAGAGAGGAAAAGTGTTAAATAAAGAAACAAAGGAAAGAAAATAGAAAATATTTGCAATATGTGAAAGTCATGCATCCCCCCCATTTTTTGTTTTTGTTTTTTCTTTTTTTTTCATAAGAAATGATACTATTGGATGCTTAGCTGGTTCACTTTTATGCTGATTACATATCGGAGTCTTTTAGGCATTTTGTATGAGAGCTTCATAATTATTAAGAAATTTTGAATACCAGTCAGTATTCCTTGGAAATTTGTTATATATATGTGGAGCTTTCATATGGTGAATGTTAAATGGTGTTAATCCATGGAAAATCAGTACAATACTGATTAGAAAAGCCTGCCTTCCCTATGCTCCTTTTGATTCAGTAATGAATTTTGGTAAAACTGAGTTGCAATATTTGCATAATGCTTGTACTGGTGATGGTGATATTATATTTTAAATTTTTACATCTTGTAAAACTGAGTTGCAATATTTGCATAATGCTTGTACTGGTGATGGTGATATTATATTTTAAATTTTACATATTAGCATCTGCAGGTATACTTTCTCCTTTTTAGACACATGCACTTCTTAAGTACCACTAGTAGCTAAGTATAGTATAAAAGGATATTTGTAATCAAAGGAAGTAATTGATTAAACTTACTTTTTAGTGTGGATATTGTACCTGTGAACATGTCCTCGTATCTTTAATTTTTTTTTTCTTTTTTGTATTTGTTTAATTAATATTCTGATAGAAACCAGGCAAAAAAGCAGTCAAGTGCAGTGCTTATTGATTTTTTTTCTAGTCAGGATTGATTCGAGTTCAGTAACATTTGATTATCAACTCAAAAAATTGTTATTTTTTTCATATCAGTTGCTGATATTTTGCTCACCATTATAACTTTTAATGTTCAGAAGGTGTTCATCTAATCATTGTATAATTTGGTCACTGAAAAGAAGGTGCATACCAAGAAATATTGTTTAGTTTAGATTTAAGGACATTTAATTTTTATACAAATCTTCTGTACCTGGATATTTATCATTTTTAAGAGAGACGTAGTATTTCACATTTGGTTTTATTCTTCCTTTTTGTATGGTGTTCAGAGGGTTGAAAAGAAATGTGGTTTCAATCACAACTATTTATTCCAAAGCTTTTTAAAGTGGTGCTGTAACATACAAACAAAACACTCATCAGAACAAGGTGATTGAACAGTATGGGACAAGAGTATCAAAGAGCATCGTGTATATAGAATGCCTTTGGTTTAGTGACATTATTCATTTATTGATATATATAATAACATTATTATATATATGACTTGCATAATAATGCCATAAATCAATAGCTTATTAAATTATTTTGTTTGGAGAGATCATTTAAAATTTTACTAACAACCTTGGAATAGAATTCGCATATTATATTACCTTTCATAGAAAAAACACATCACTCAAATTCAAACACTTATCTACACACATCAAACTTCTTTGGAAACATGCAGAAATGATTGCATGGAAACAGCTTCACTGGATAAGTACAAATGGAATGTCAGAAATATTAAGAGGAGGAGTGTGACCTTAGGATACACACTGAGGACTAACCAACCCTGGAGTTCTCTGTGTCGTAAACAACATACACTGGTGGTGCAGAGTTGAGAAAATTAGATTTGATTTTTCTGACAACTTCTCACGTCCACGAATAATGTCTCCTTTACTTTGTTGACTAAACTGAAGCAAGGAATATTTTGAGGTATAGTTTGGAATGTTGATAATATAAACTAATAGGAACACAACTTTCAAAAGAAATTAATCTTAAAGGTAGTATAAATATACAAACTTTGGAATGAGAATGCAACCTTACAGATTACGAGATAAATTATTAGGACTAATTATTTACACACACTAACCATAACTTTGGCATTTAGCCTTAATACTTTGGAGATGAGGACTCGTTAAAGTATAAATAAAGATAAAGAAACTATTCGATCCCTGATCCATATAGATTGTCTCGATCTATTGTAGATATGCTATCATTCTTGGCATACACTTCTACCAAATATTTTAAACATTGGTATGTATTGGCTAAACTGGCAAATGAAAAGGTTAGGCACAAGAAATTGATTTTGGCCCCTTGTATTTGAACAAAATGTTTGGAATGTTGGCAACTAAAGAAAACTACTGGACAATATTTTGGCAGGTACTGTACAAGCAAACAAATAACAATAACGAGTAACAAAATCAACTGGGAGTTGAAGACATCACAGACTAAAGGAATGAAATCATATTAAACTAAATATATCAAACCACTGAATCATTATATACACACTATATACATAACGTTAACTTACAGATTACAGAAGAGTCTAGGGCACGTTGTCAAGGCACGAATTTTTAAATTTCAAGGCAAACTGTGAATGCATTACGAATGGAAAATAATAGAATAAGTAACCATTAATATGAACTACAAGCTATGACATACATTGCACTCAGCTAAGTATTGGAAAAGTTTTCTTGAACAGACACACCCTCATTGTAAAGACAGAAATCCCTCTTAACGGGGAAGTTCTGCATGCATTATCGCACCCCCAGGAGCTTCGCTGCGTCATCTGCCGATTTAGATGTCAGCAAGTGATCGACAACGGCTCGTCTTGTTCCAAGGAGGTTGGAGATGAAGTCGGACCCTTCGGTTTCATCTTTGCGCTCCTCTTTAATTTCAGTCTTTATTGCTGGCGAGGACAAACTTCCCTCTTTTTGCTCAACAGCGGATAAGACAGGTGAAGAGTTTGTATGCTGGGTTGTAACGTGCTGCTTTAATTCAGCAAGACTCCAATATCGATTCAGGCAGAACATACAGCTCACCTGTAAAAGAAGAAAATTCTTCAGCACTTCTATTCATCATATAGTGCAGTTCAGTAATTCTACATACTGACAAGTCAATGTCACTTTTGTGTGATTTCAGCAATCAGGATGCTCAGAGGACACTGAACTTACCCTCTCTGTGGTAGTTGAATCTGGCGTTGGAGAAAGGGGGTCGTTGTTGTTCTCAGCTGTGACCGGCTCTATACTTGTAATTTTCTGAAAGTTTTCTGGATGGGCTTCTTTGACGTGCTGAACTGCCACCTCGCGACTTGCAAGTGGGACTTCACACACGTGGCAGCGAAACGGTCTAGCGTCGTCCCTCGAGATGGCCGTGTCGCTGGCCTTCTCGTGCTTGAACACTTCGTGCTTGCGGAGACTCTCGAGGCTGGTGAAAGCTGCACCCGGACACTTGGAACAGCGGTAAGGGCGGTCTCCGCCGAGGGTGTGTGGGGAGTCGGGATGTTTTCTCAGGAGGTGGCGGTCGCAGTTGGACTTGGTGGTAAAGGGAAAGTGGCACACTGGGCACAGGTATGGCTTTTGTCCTGTGTGAGTGCGGATGTGTCGCACAAGGGAACTGGACCATGGGAACTTTCTCTGGCAGAAAGGGCATTTTTGTTTTTGTGGCGCCGAAGAATAGGCACTGCGCTTGGCTTCTTCTGACATTGTGTTGGAGGAAGTGGAGTCATCTTCACCAGGGACTTCCTCCTCCCCCTCACTGCCAAAAAAAGGGAAGCTCTGACTGGAGGCAGTTGAGAGCAACGTGTGGACGCTAGCGAGGTCAGCACTGCTGTCTTCCCGACTTTTCTCTCCACTGCTCTCCTGACCTTCCTCTTCTTCCTCGTCCTCGTCCTCCTCCTCCTCATCTTCTTCTTCTTCCTCTTCTTCCTCCTCCTCCTCGACTTCGTGACCATCATCAATGACTAGCTCCCTCTCTTCCTCTTCTCTCTGCTCCGTCTCCTCGCCTCTGTCTTCAGCTGCGTCCTTTTCGATCTTGATGATGAGCTGCTCTCTCACTGTCTCTGAAATTGTGTGTGGAGTGTCAGAGGCAGACGTGGGCGTGTCCGTCTCTGACCTGGGAGTGTTGACCCCTCTCGGCCGGTGTTGCCAGACGTCGGGATGCTGCTGCTTCATGTGTCGCTCCATGTTGGAGCGGAGGGTGAAGCCTTTGTCGCACAGGTCGCATCTCCACGGGCGCTCCGTCCTGTACCGCCGCTGTTTGGGCTTTTTCATGAGGACGGAGTTGCGGATTGTGAAATGCATCACATCCTCGTCGCCAGGCTTGGAAATGGGCGTGGACTGACTGTCAGATGTGGACGAATCCTCGGATTTACTTTCACTGGATCGGATGTCGGGTCGGGGGATGCGGAGAGGGTTGCGGTGGGCGGCGACCATCGCCAACGCCGACAGCGAGAACGAAGGGGAACTCTGTAGGAAGCCTCCGCTTAGAAGCCCGCCACCGGACGTCAACTGCAGGCCGCGCTTCAGCTCTTTCTGGTACTCCTCAAAGAAGGCGGGGTCCAGATTGCGCACGGGATGGTGCAGGCCGTTGTAAGGGTTCATGAGGAAGGAATACTGGTGGGGGTTAAAGGGAGTGCACAGCGGCAGGTGCTGGGGGTACATGCCCAGGGAGAAGGGCGGCTTGGGGATTTTGAGCACTTCGGTCGTGGATTCTGACGACGGTTCGGGGCTCTTGGCCTCGTCGGGCTCCGTGCACTCCTCCTTGCGTGGCTTGGACAGGTCCTCGGGCTCAACCTGCTCGCACTTGACTTCGTTCACCTCGATCTCCTCGTCGTCGTCCTCATCCTTCCTGTCATCCTCCTGCTCTCTCTTGGAGTTCATGCTGAGGTCCAGAGGCGCGTCCTCGTCGCTGGCGGAGAGCACGCTGGGCACGGGCGTGAGTGTGGGCGTGACGGACGGCGTGAGCGTGCGGCCAGGAACCAAGGGCGTTGGGATTCCTGCGTTGTGCGAGAAGGGCAGAGGGAGCGCCGGCGGCGGCGGCTGGTGGGAGGTAGTGAGGGGCATCGCGGTGAGGGGCAACTTGGAGAAGCTGAGGAGCGACTCGACGGGCGTGAGGTCGTGGTGGTCCTGGTGGTCGTCGCGGGCGGCCTGGCTCACCACGAGGCTGTCGAGGGTGGGCCCCGTGGCGGCCTCCGAGTGCTGCTGGATCACGTGGCGCATCACGTCGTTCTCGGAGGAGAAGGCGCCGCCGCACAACTTGCACGAGAAAGGCTTGGTCATGCCCTCGGGGTGCGAGGAGCGGATGTGGTCGCGCAGCACGGACCGCGCCTTGCAGTCGATGTGGCAGATGTGGCACACGGTGTCCAGGGAGCGGTCGGTGCTGGCGCCCTCCTCCTGCGGCACGTACGTCATGCAGCCCTTGACTTCGTCCCGCGACTGGCGCCCGTGGATGTTCTTGATGTGGCGCTCGCAATTGGCCTTTGTGGTGAAGGCAAGGTTGCAGAGGTTGCACTCGTAGGGCGTGTCGCCCTTGTGGCTCTTCATGTGTTCCTTGAGAGTGTTCTTGTCGTTGCTGAAGAAGGAGCACAGGTTGCACCGGTACGGGGGAGCCACCATGTGGACCAGGTTGTGTGACTTGAGTTTGCGCA